GGAAGCTCAGCCCGTCTTAGCCTTTGGTTGTTGTTAACTTCTCTATGGGAATTGGTTGCTTATGGAAGTTTGATACTTTTAGTCGTTCCACTACATTAGCACGGTGATTGTACTGTGTTCCTAGCCATTGGTTCGTTTTTAATACACTGCACGAACCAATGGCCGTGCAGTTTCACTACGTGAATGAAAAAAAGGCTTCAGTGCAGGAGAAAAAAGGCTTTTCCCATATGCGTCTGGCAAGACGCAGTACTCGTTCCCATATCTCAGGGAACCGAGGTTACGTTAGTAACCGAGTATGTTCTCAACCTTTTCTTCCACTGGGCTGCACTATGGTCCAAATGCAAGTCTCATGGACTGCACGCATATCATTTACATATTACATCACCAATACAAACCAACAAGATTTATAATATTATAGCCTAAATATTATGATATCTAATCGATTACATTCATTGAAATAAATAAATAAATAAATAATTCTACTCACCATTAATAAAACACCTGATGCTGCCGGGAGTTTACCAATTTTGTGAAATTCGGCTCGGAAGGAGTAACAGCACAGTGAAGTTGCGATTGTAAGTTGCAGTCTGTAAGACGAGTACGGAAGCGTGAGTTGATGCACGACATTGCAGAAAATGTGCATTCACAAATGTAGCCTGTGTTGATCCAAATATGGAAAGCACTTTCGAATATAATAATCTCTCCAGGTTCTCTCCAGAGATGTTTTACCACATTTCTGCAATTAAGCATGATTGCTGCGTAGTATGGGTGTTTCCTTTTGCCTGAACATCTTCAAGTAAGTGGCGGGGCAAACCGAAAGTTGATGCCGAAAGTCCAGCACTCTCCTACCTTCACTGCTAATACTGCGACTATTCTTGTTTGTATATGTTCCTTCGCTGGCATTTTCCACATATCGTTTTTCTCCCTTAATAACAAATTTGTCCATTCTGATGCTCAATTTTACAGAACTAATGGCTGCTGATGACTATTTGATTTGAATTATGCCAAACTGCGTGCTTGTAAGTGTTCGTTAAATGCGTAACGTTAATTACGTGAGTACAGCTCTGCTCATGTCTGAAAATAATATATGAAAAACTAAATTATTTTACATATAAACACTATAGCTTATATTTTTTAGTACATTTTAAAATTAATGTAAAAACTCAAATGAATTGTAAAACTGAAAGTTATTTCTTAAATTGTGATCAGCATGGTGGGCCGCATTTGAATTTGTGACGGGCCGCGGGTTGACAACCACTGCTATAGGCAAAGGAAAACCATGAGCTTCACACACACACACACTAAATTGCATCCACAAGCGAGTGATTTTGTTGCAGCCAACCCTTTCTTGTGGTCACCAAAGCAGAAAAAATTGCTGCTGGGATACGCCACTTTTTTTGGGATTCTCCCAAGTTCTTATTCCTACCATACTTGTCCATTGAATTATTGTATGCAAGCAAAAATGACAATCGCAAGAGAACCCCCTGACCTTGACTGGGGAAAGCACTTGGAGTTGCTTATTTTGCTTTACTGGCTTGCCCATGCATTGTCCTAGAGTCACCTCACAGACCTTATTGGTTCTAAAATAAAAAGTGTTTTGTTGTTCATAAAACTGCTTGTTAAATGAAAGATGTGGTTGCAGACATCTGAGCCATTTATTAACCAGGTTTGTGTAACTGATGTGTCAGGTTCTGTATATAGAGAGAGGACCCAAGAACAGACAGAGGCTGAACAGTTTTGTGCCAAACTCCACCCAGCTGAGCAGAGGAACGAGGGAGAGTCAAGGTCAGGTGAGGGTCAAAACAAGATTGACATTCTGAACCAGAAGGAGATTATCCGAGGATGAATTGTAGTAGCAGGCAGGGATCAATACAGTCTACTCAAGCAACCAGATCTGAGGATAAGAGAGAATCAAATACCAGGACAAAGCAAAAGATCAAACCATGAAGAGAAGGCAGGATTCCACCATTGAAACTGGGCAGAGACACAGTATACAACTCAGGACTGAAAGGACAGAACAAGACCGACAGGATGGCACCGAGGATGTGCGGAGCGAGAACAGGTATAGAGCAAGTAATAATGAGGAGAGAGATGTGAAACGTGAGGATCCAATGAGCAAACAATGCCAAATTAGCTGTGTGAAGCTGCCACATGGAGAAGGAAAAACCAAGTCAAGAACCTGAACCCAAGTCCTGACAGCCTGTAATCCTGCATTCTTAAAGAATGTTGGTGCCATTTGTTGAGGATTAAGGGGGCTTTCACACTTGCATCTTGGTGCACACTCAGGTTTGTCACTGGTTTGTTTGGATAATGTAAATGCCTTTTTCTGAACTTGGGTGCAAACTCACTATGGTACGGTTTGTTCCTGATGTGAACGCAATGATGCATGAATTGGTCAAACTGTGTATTTATGTGTTTTCTCACTCACTTTTATGACAAGCGAGACTGACGTGATGCAAGCAGAGAATTTATATCTAATTTCTGCTCACCTTTAATAGAAATTTACTCCTATGTTCTTTTAACCTTTGCATACATTTGTGCTGGTGCTTTGGAAACCTAATGTTCAAAATCCAAAGTACAAAAGTGAGGCGAGCATGCACTGGTATCTATCCATTTCACTGACTTGTATTACTTGCAGGGTTTCAATTAAATAGTGGAATTTGATGTCCAACAATAAATATTTAATCTAAATTAATATCTGAATCCAAATGAATACCCTACCTTGGTGTTACGCGACTGGGAAACATGTCAAGTGCCTTTAAAGGGTTAGTTCACTCAAAAATTCTGTCATTAATTACTCAAACCCATTTAGTTCCAAACCCGTAAGACCTTCATTCATCTTCGGAACACAAATTAAGATATTTTTGATAAAAAAGAGCTCTTTGACCCTCCTTAGACAGCAATGCAACTGCAAAGTTCCCAGGTCCAGAAACGTAGTAGGACACCGGTAAAATAGTCCATGTGACTATTTTAACAATTTCAACAATTCTTCTCCCCGAGTTACCGTCTTCTGCCATTTTGGAGAGTACCCCAGACCTTAATCAGCGTTGTTTACATTCATCATGTGCACACTGTCTACTAAACGTAAACAATGCTGATTACACGTTCAGAGAAAGCTCACGCATGCTGAACATAAACAACACTGATTACGTTCTGGAGTACACTCCAAAATGGTGGAAGACGTTAACTTGGGGAGAATAATTGTTGAATAAATTATGTTATTTTCTTTGAGCACAAAAAGTATTCTCGTAGCTTCGTAAAATTACGGTTGAACCATGTCACATGGACTTTTTTACTGATGTCCTTGCTACGTTTCTGGACCTGGGAACATTACAGATGCATTGCTGTCTACGGAGGGTCAGAGAGCTCTCAGATTTGATCAAAAATAACTTAATTTGTGTTCCGAAGATAAACGAAGGTCGATGTGAGGGTGAGTAATTAATGACAGAATTTTCATTTTTGGGTGAACTAACCCTTTAATACCACACAGAAACACTAATATAGTTTCTCAATGCACAGACGTTGATTGGCCAACACAGTTGAAACCTTTCAACATACTCCTATCTTTCAAACCCACTCATTACTCTGACCAATTACAGGCCTCTCTAACAGGACAGTTTCTGGCATACACATCTGCTTTGTCACTGTGACTCTCTGTCAGACTCAAGTTATTTCACTTTGATAAATTGTCATTTTTAAAAAAATATATTTGTGAATGCATTGAGAGAGTTTATCTTGATGTAATGTCTTTGTGATCTTGTGTTGTGGACTTAAGTTTCCCCTTAAGTTTCTTGTTAATCTGTTACCGCTGTTAGTATATGCATAACGTTCTGCCTTATCAGAAGATCTTGCAATTGTTAAAATGGGGTCAGATAATACTGTGTGAGCATGGAGTGTTTAAAAAGATGAGACGAACAACAGACATAGACTATATAAATAAAATGTATTTACAATATTCACAGGGAACTTAAAACAACTCAATAAAACTATAATAATTAGGCTGTTAAAAACATTTTCATTTTCCGGAGTCCGTTTGCACCAAAAGATAAAATATAGCAATCCAGCGTGTTGCTAGTCCCAAAGTGAATGTCCCAAAATTGTCCAACAGTGTATATACAATCCAAGTGATGTTTCAATGCTTGTATCTGGAAAAGTATAAGTCAGAATAAAACTCCACAGTTCAGAAAGGGTGATCACCAGCATGTTTGTAAATAAGGGCTTGCTTGCCATGCTGCGTCCTTTATACAGTTCATTTCCTATTTCCTGTCATGTGATGAGTCACATGACAGGCAGACCCAAAGTCACTTAAAGACATACACACATTAAAACGGTTAAGAGGAATAAAATGTCTAAGAACAACATGAAAACCTATTAAAACTCAAATATACATAAAATCATTATAATATTTTGAGCAGGTTAAAACGTGTCCTGTGTGATAGCGTCACAATGTTGCATCAGTTTGTAACGCCTGGCCCTATCAGCTGAGGCTACACAGTTTAAAACAGCTTATTTCTGTTCCTCTGTTGGTTTTTCTAGTTTCCTTACTTTTGTTATTATTTAATAAATGCTACATTTGGATATTGCTTTCTTCTTATTATTTAATAAATGCTACATTTGGATATTGCTTTCTTCTGTCTCTGAGTTTGCCTCACATGATGTTTGTGCTTGTAAGATGAAATCGAAATGAAACTTACATTTAAAAAGTGAGCATGCTTAACAGTCATTAAATACTATCCTAAGTTGTTTTGCACCCATGTTTGTTTATCTATAATTTGTCTCCATTTGCTTAAGGAATAATCTACATTCAGTTGTTCAGTATAATCTACAATATATGGCTCATTAAAAAACGGTAAAAATATTTGTCTGTAGAATTCCTTCACTGACAAATAAGAATATACAAATAATTGTGTTGCTGCTTCTTTGATGGACTGCAGTGTCTTATATTTTCCAGCAGGTAGCAGTGTATCGTACTCATGAGTGTTTGTGCGTGTGAGTTTTAGGTGACCATTCTACGAGGAAAGGACGGCTTTGGCTTCACCATCTGCTCTGACTCGCCTGTTCGTATACAAGCAGTCGATCCAGGCAAGAACTGCTTTGTGTCTGGTGTGTGTGTGCTTGCATTTTTGCCAGAGGATACTGCTGAACTGAAGGCTCGGCATGTGTGGTATTTCTGGATCATGGATCATTAATCATTATTGCCAAATATGGGTCACTGTGTGTTGTGTGTGTTAGGCCACATGACTCACAGCTGATTAACACTCACAGTTATGTCACTACTGTAAATTGTCAGAATGTGACCTGTGTAATTGAGGCAGTCACATAGATTGTGCATGAGTGTGTTTGAGTATCTGTCAGGCCACATGAGTCACAGCTGATTAACACTCACTGTTATGTCATTATATTGTGTGTGTTTCTTCTCTCAGGTGGTCCAGCGGATCAGGCCGGATTGCAGCAGTCAGACACTGTGTTGCAGTTAAATGGTCAACGCGTCAAACACTGGAAGTGTGTAGATCTTGCACATGCTATTAGGTACAAATAACGCTCTTTATATTCAGGGCATAGAGTATTTTGTGTTTATAATGCCTTTTTTTGTGAATACAGTGAATGAAATACTTTACATAGGAAAGGTATTTCTTTTCACTTATTTCATCTCTTTATCTCATAACTTTACAATAGGGTCGCATTAGTTAACGTCTACTAATGTTTTCTTAGTTAACATTATCTATGATTAATAAATGCATTAAAAGTGTTTTTGGTAACACTTTACTTAAATCCTTTATGTATAATGCAATATAAAAATATTCATAATGTACGTAATGCATTATATCTTTTGATAAAAACAATTTAACCAAAGTTAATATCCATTATAATATTTGAAGTTTTGTTTATCATGTTTTTGTTATGCATTATACTTTCTAAAGGTGTAACAATGAATGGATAAGTATTATATTGTATTATACTTGTGGTAATAATTTTTCATGAGATAAGGTGCATTATAAGACATAATTAATGCATTAAAACTACTTTTATCATGCATTATATAAAAAGGCTTTAAGTGTTACAATGTTTATTCATTGTTGCTTCATTTTAGCTAATGTAGTTAACAAATGGAACTTTATTGTAAAGTATTCATTCATTCATTCATTCATTCTATTTAGAACTTGGTGGATGCAAACCAAAATATACAATTATTCATAATAAATTTAAAATATGAATGACACTTAAGGCCCTGATACACTTAAAGGGCACCTATTATGCCCATTTTTACAAGATGTAATATAAGTCTCAGGTGTCCCTAGCGTAACACTAGTTTCAGCTCAGAATACCCCACATATAATTTATTATATAATTTTTAAAATGCCTATTTTTTTTATTTTTCAATGCAAATGTGCTGCTGCTGCCTGCCCCTTTTTTCCAGAATAGGCCTGTGCCTTTACAGCTCCTACCTCAGGATACTCTGCCAAAAAACATCTGTTTGGTTTTGATTATCACGTCTATCGCACTGAAATCATGCGTTTTAAAGCCATATAAAACCAGTTTAAATTTCTTATATACGTTTTTTTTGAGCGCACACATTGAAAGCATGAGCACAGAAAGTGGCTGTCACACGGGATGTGAGTACTAAATGTAGTAAATCAGCTCAAAAGGGAAATATTTACGACTAATCATAACTGGACTTCAGCTCGGCTTTCAACACCATCATCCCAAACCTCCTCCTGTCCAAACTAACTCAGCTATCCGTGCCCACCTCTGTCTGTCAGTTGATCACCAGCTTCCTGACAGACAGGCAGCAGCTAGTAAAGGTAGGAAAATTATCATCCAGCACCCGTACGATCAGCACTGGCACCCCCCAGGGTCGCGTCCTCTCCCCACTGCTCTTCTCCCTCTACACAAATGACTGCACCTCTAAAGACCTCAGCTACCAAATCTGACCTCAGAAGACTACGTAGGATAGTCCGGACTGCTGAGCGAATCACTGGTACAACCCTCCCTACTCTCCAAGAACTGTATTCATCCAGAGTGAGCAAAAGGGCTAGCAAAATCACTCTAGACAGCTCACATCCAGCCCACTCCCTCTTTGAACTGTTGCCATCTGGTCGAGGGTACAGAGTACTGCGCATCAGAACGGCCAGACACGGGAACAGTTTCTTCTCTCAGGCAATCCATCTGTGTAAACATACCTGGCAATAAAGCTCATTCTGATTCTGATTCTGATTCTGATGTGGATGTTTTTACCTGCTCTGCAATTCAGCATTCCAGTCATGTCACACTTGTCATTGCTTACTACTTGACTCACAGATGACCTCAACCACCCAGTGAGAGCCGATACTTGGATACGGCTGACCCTTTCGAGTCCTTGAGCACAGAGGGAAATAGCCCTGCAAAAACATTTGTAAAATACAGCACACCAAGTTTTCCTCTGAGGAAGAATACAAAGTAAAAACCTTTTCAGCACACAGAATTGTTTAACCATTGAGAAGGCTGGGATGCTGTCCAAATAATATTCAAGAGTGCATGGGACAGCCCCTGAAAATCTAGGGAGTCTTGCTCAAGGGCCATACATGGAGCTTCCACCTCTCTGGCTGTGGATGCACAGCACTAGTGAATAGGAAGGAACACATGACCATTTGTGGACCAGAGCATCCACTTCTAAATGAGCCACAGTTAGAGAGTACCAGAGAAAGTGTGTTGTCTCTGAGGAGGTAAACAGGGTCACCTCTGTTTTCTAAATACGTCCCAAATCCTCAGAACCTTCGAAGGATGAATCCTTCATCCCCTAAAGAAAGAGAACATGCTCCAGAATAGAACACGATCTGAACAGACAACAAAACAGCGAATCGGAATCTGGTGCAAACAAATTCCCCCATGGCAATTTATGTATGCCACCATTGCCGTGCAATACATTCAGATCAGGACATGAAAGTCCTGTATGTCTGCATAAAAACTCTTGAGAACCAGGAGGACTGCAAACAGCTCTAGGCAATTTATGTACCACTGAGTGTGAGTGCCTGTCCAGTTGCCAAATACTGCACAGGGCTCCCCAGCCCGAGCTTGATGCGACTGGTGTGATGACTTTGCACTTGTACTTTATCTAGCTTCCCTGCTCCTTCGGGGAGAAGTTTCATAAAGTGTTTCCTCTGACTGCGAACATTCATAGACACTTGGAGCCCGAAGTGGGGTGCAGCTCCTATTGACTCACCAGACAAGGCCACTTCAGATGGAGAATATTGGAAGGGGAATGGATTGGGCTCCTGCTTCAACTTGAAAAAAAAAATGGCCCTGAAGATTCTGAGCTTTGATGAGTGCTGCCACTAAAATGAGTGCTGTACTCACTGCTGCAATTACAGATGAATTTAGAATTTAGGGCTTAAGAAATTGACACTTCCTGACATACCATAAAAGTGACAAACTGAAAAGGGAACTTACTGAGAGGACTTTGAAAGCTGCTGTAAACAATTTTTGTGCCATTAGTGTATTGAAATCTGTAGAGTTTCTTGGCTTTAATCAATACTGCGGCACTGGCACCTTTTCCAAAAGTGTCCCCGTATTTTGATACTCTTTTTATATACTGACATGCATATATGGATATGCAATCTCTTTTTTGTAGATTTGTTCACAGGCTGCATGCACAATAAAGATCTGCTGTATCACTGATGAAACAATAGAAGACTTTTCCTAGTTTCCTAAAATGCACTTAGGTAAATCCATCCTATCCAGTGACCTTTTTGGGTTCAGTTTTACAAATTATCTCATTACTATTTTGATGTGAGAAACCACAGGAAATGATTTAGAGTGTGAATTGAATCACAAACAGTTCTCGATGCTTTTGCAAAGGCGTTTGACTGATTAGATAAAAAAATGATTCATTAGCGAATCTGGAATATATTGATTATTAACAGCTGATAACGGTTCCACCAGAACCAGTCTAAAAAAGTCAGAATATAAACATATAATATAAATATAGGTGTACCGTAGTGATTCAGGATAAGCCAAAAACACGGTTTGGAAAATGGATTCATGGTGTACTTGCTTATTATATAAATTTTGAACACAAAAAAGTTACGGACTGCAGCTTTAATATCACCATGAGCTGCATAGGACCAACAATACCAAGAGTTATGAATAGGAACAGACAATTTTAGTTTCTAATGTAAATCTGTCTAAATGTTTCATAAAATTTCCACAAAAACACATATTTACCATACCACATTCATCATATTTATCAAAAAAAATCACAAACCATATATTTTTTTATGGTTTTTGAAGATAGACAGCATGTCACACAACAAGTCTGATGTAGCCTATGTACCTACAAACACAATTTCAGAAATTGCAAGTTACAGTGTACTATTTTAGAAAATAATGTGGTAAGAGATGGTATGTGTACTGTGTGGGTTAAGTACTCTGTAAAGAGCAGTTACTGCAAGGTTCAGCGATTTGCATATGTTAGTAGTGATTGTGTTTCTTCTATAACCTTCTTCAAACATGGAGCTAATATTATACTGTAAATGTTATATGAGTTAAAAGTGGTTTACCTTGTAATCTGATTAAGAGTCCATTTCTTTCTCTTCTGAAGCCTGTAGATCTGTGTAGCCCAAACAGAACACTGATGATCTCTGAAGAAATGGTTTTATATGAGAGCAAGCATTTTTCTATCAAGGTAAGAGACACGCTGCATATTGTGAATGTGCATTTAGGGCATTTTACGCTTGAAATCGCTTTCCATGACCATTCTAAATGTAGTGCAATTTAATACATTTTTAAATGGGGTTGAATGATTTTTACTGGTATACAATTAACTTTATAGATAATTTCATCTAATCCATCATACCTTTTATTGTTTAATCTGTAGACTAATTTAACCCCCTAATTGGAGTCACACAAAGTAAGGAATGTATGACTTTGTAAGTTACCAAACCAGAACAGAAAAGATTCATGAGAAGGCAAATGGATTAATGTGATGGAATAAAGAAATGTTATATAACCTTTACCCAGAAGGCTTCTCAAGCAAGAATGGTATTGCATAAAGCGAAGATCTGAAAATTTCACACTGAGGAGTAAGTGAGTGTTTTATAATCCTTACCTAGGGCCAAACTCTGACCTTCATTTACAAATACAGCTGGCAGGCTATATTACATGTGCTGAAGAGACAAAAACCAGAGTCAGCATCTGGCCAGATACTGTGTGGGCAGACCCTCCATGTCTGGTAGATACTGCTGCCCTGCATGAACACTGTTTGAAAAACATGCTTATATTGATTGTTTTGTATACTTTTGTCAATTTGAAGAAGCCTGTAACCATGGTCAGACAACAATGTTTCTCAGTTATTTAACCATTTCCCAGATAATGTGTAAAAACTGTACTTAAGTACGCTGTGCCTCTAAAATGTAAAACAAATTACTTAAGACTTTTGCACATCACGTAGACATAACTGTATATCTAATAAATTTGATGGAGATTAAAAACGTTGTAAAAACGTTTTTTTGTTCAAAATGCTGAGACAGAATCAATTCCACAAATGAGTTTTAAATGTCAAATTCTTTTAAACTTAAAATTCTGTCCACTCTATCACTTGAAACTGGTAAGCTGTGACTGTTCCACAATAATCATGCAGCTCATTTGCATGCAATGAAAAACACTGTTTGAAAATTTTCATTTGCAGTTTTTGTTGGTCCATTTATTTATTTTTTACACTTTATGTACAGTGGGTACGGAAAGTATTCAGACCCCCTAAAATTAACTTAAATGATTTTAGCAAATGGCTGCAATATAACAAAGAGTGAAAAATTTAAGGGGGTCTGAATACTTTCCGTACCCACTGTATATGCGTGTGTATGTGTATGTGTGTATGTAGAAGGTTAATATTCCCTTTTCACACTAGGGAAGAACTTTACCACTATACCAAGTTCAATTCAGTTAAATGTAAACAGAGTGTTGCAAAATGCATTGACAAGTGTAATCATCAGATTCCATTGAAGTGAATGCTGTTTTGTGAGCCATGTTAACAATTGAAAGCATGGTAAAAATTCTCTTAAACTGTGTTAAACAGAATGGAGCAAACATTTAGGGAGCAACAAGGTGTCATAATTGCACTAACATTAAAGGCATCTTTTTTCTTTAAACATTAACATTAAAGAAAACATCTTTTCTTTGCTTCTTGCCATCTGAAAATTTGTTCACATGTGCATACACATTTATAGATAACACAACCCCCGTAACTGTCCCATAATTACTCAGTTTAAGGCTCAGTTTAAACAAAAATATTACTTGATTATCTTCAGCAGTCTTTGGGTGAATTATGAAAATAAGTTAACTACGACTGCATGCATCACATGTATTGCATATGACTCCAAATGCTCTTTTGAAACATCTGCATTTGATCAGTTTTTGCTGAATTTACACTCTCTCATGCTCTCTCTCTAGGTAACAATGTTTATATACTCAGATCTGATGTTGGTGACCAGAGAGGATGAACTGGGACGATGTAACGTCCTGCAAAACCCATTGTACCTTAGACAGCTGCAGCTGCGGGATGGTGAGTGACAACTACACACATATTCACACAAATGCACAAACATTTCCCACAGTTACTCTTCAGGTGTTTGTCCCTCAGTGTCAACATTCAGTGAAAGATTTGTTTTTTTTTATGTTTAAGGTAAACCTGCCCTAAATAAGATAATTTTTATTAAAATGATCTGAAATTCTATTATTAATCAAGTACATGCAAAAATGAATGTTCCATTCTTGATTGATTTGTTCTTGTGTTTACGTCATGTTGGTAAACACAGAGGAAAGTGCAGATACAATGTTGTGTGTGGTTACTGAAGAGTGGTCGTAGCTTGTTGCTGCAATAAATAGTGGTGATGTGCAGAATTTTTAAAAGCTATCTAACACATGTTAGAGGGACATGGACAGTTCAAAATGGCATCCCTCAATGGCCTCTGCATTGTCAAAAGCAAAAAAATCAAACAAACTGTACAAAAGATTTCCAGACAGTCTGTAATCAAAAAGAGAAAGTGACAGAGCCCTATGTGGTAATGTTCAGGAAAGAGGTGTTCTAACTCAGATCCCCAGGTTGAGCATCACTATAAAAACAAGCACTTCCTGTCACCCACCCACCCTCCAAACAAAGACAGGTGTGGAAAGTGACACACATAAGTGCATTTACTGTGAACAGGAACAGAACAATATCTCCAAAGAACCAAGAGAAACATTTATTTGATTAGTAGTCCAAATGCAATCTGCGTCACAAGTACACAAGCTTTTTTTAGATTGTGTAAAATTAGTATTCTGTTATAAAATGTTATAGAGCATAATATACCATCAATTGTAAGTCTCATAAACTTTTGTCTATAACTTATCTTACAAATCTATTGAAATATTTTTTAGTTTAATTTTCTATGAATGAGCATGTTTTTATTTATTTATTTATTTAAAAAAATGTATTTATAAAATGGATAGTTGTTATCCTTGATTCTGATTGATTGAGCCGCGTTCGAAGCTGTTGTAAATCTACAAACATACACCTCTTTGTTTCTGCATATGTGTGATGCTCGGCAACCACTTTGTTGCAACTACAACCGTTTCTGAGGAACTACATTTTTTGGTGGAAGAATGATTTTATTAATATCATTATTATATTTTATTTGCTTTGTTTTATTTTGTGAAACCTTGCTACATATATGGAATAACCGTTTTATAAAAGCAATAAGCCCGTGAAGCCATGGTTTACAGTGAATTTTTAACAGCTAAGGGGTGTTGTAAAACCCCCTTAGCTGTTATAATTTCACTATTAAACCACGGCTTCTTGGGGCTTATTGCTTTATTTGGTGTTTTGCCTTTATTATGATACGACGGTGGAGCGCAGACAGGAAGCAAAGTGGGAGAGAGAGAGGGGGCAGGATCGGAAAAGGGTACATGACGATGTTAATGTATTTGGTCTTGGCGGAATAGATCTGCAACGCTGCTGCTGCTGCTGCTGCTGTTGCGGCAGAGCAAGTACAGAGACTTGCTATTGCCAATACATCCACAACATGCGGCTGTGAGCATGTAAGGAATATTGCTGCTGCACATACAGCATATATGAATAACCCCCATAGCATACATGATCACCCTGTAGCAGATCTATACAGGTGGAGCTGGGGAAGGTGGAGGATTTATGAAGTGCACTGCTACTGCTACAGCAAACACTGTCAGGAAATTGAATGTTGAGCAGTGAGGTCATATGTTACAGATACAGGAGAGAATCAATCAACTGTGCCATGTGATAATGACGTCATTATGCCATATTGAGATCTATAGGACTGCGCCAGTTAGAGTTTCATGCCAGAACTTTGTATTTGTCTTTTAACAAGAAGTTCAAAGTGTTGTACAGTAAGAATCATGAACATGAATTAAAAAAAATCAAAGAAAAGAGTACCTCTTTAAGGGAATGACAATGGAGGGGAATTTCTGCATGTAACAGTGGTAGAAGTTAAGAGAATCCTAAGAAGCATTGCAACACTTTCATACCCTTGGGACCGTCTATGTAGCCCATACATTGCACAGAAGATTGGTGGAAGGAGCATTTTATGATTTGCGGAAGAGCTGATAATCTCAAAGATGCTGGTGTACCAACTAGACATGGTGAATGTGCTCGGTCAGGTTCAAGAAGTAGAAAAGAAAATTGTGTGTGTAGATGAGAAATCTGTGGAGGTACTCAAGGTCTTCCTTGCAAATACGAATTAAGTTGTGTGTGACCAGGGAAAAAAGGAGAGCCTGTGATAACACCTCCCTGCGGCTAGGGACTTCCTTGTGCACTTTGTGCAGTGTCGTAGCAAAAGGAGAAGGCGGTGCTTTCCCGAGAGTGTGGTCTTGCTGATCTGTTTTGAGCATGCACGAGCTGGGAAACGTTACGGTTTGCTTGTAGGAAAAAAAGAGGAAGTCCTCATTGCAGTTTCTGTTGTTGGATTAGCTGGATTTTGCGTTTCTCAGAGTGCGGGGGATATTCGTGTGGTGAGACTGTGTAGTCCACAGTGACGGAAATTGAGCGTGAGTGTTTATTTACTCTGTTCATTTACTGGTTGATTATCGTACATTACTGTTGTGGTATTGAGGAGAAAGTAAAATGTACCTCTTCCTCTTTTGACGAAATAATATCAGAGGGAAGAGCGAGTATACGTGAGGGTACATGTGAGCGATGGCTCTGTGGATCTCGGTTGAGCGGTTCAACGCTCAACAGTGAGTGACATTTATTTCTGTCTTTAACCCAAATGTTTGTTCATTTAGAGAATTGTTAATGAGCAGTGTACTGTTTCTTTCTGAGGCTGGTGTTAATCTGAGTTATCCAATAATCTGTTTTAAGACATTAAAACATTGACAGTGATGTTAAGAAAAACGTGAAACGTGTAACATCGATTTACTTTGGACATAAAAGTGTGCCTGGCTTATGATCATGTATTTCAAAAATTGTTCCTGTGTTTTTGTTCTCTACTCAGAAAAGCATCATAAGCCACTACCATTGTTTATCAGGGTATTGACCTAGCCAAGAGAACTTGTAGTTGTGTACATTAGAGAAATTGTGTATTTTGTTTACATTTATTTTTGGACATTTTATTTTGGATGCAAACTCCTTGTTGTAAAAATGGGTTTCTTTTATTGTTTTCCTCATATATATTTTATTTCTTGATCTTGCCCACAAGTGGAAACCTCTGTCATTAATGCCACATTCTTCGCATATGTGGTTATAAATAAAGAACCCATGTTTTTATAGATGTCTGATGATATTTGATGTACTCCGGTAGTAAGTACATTACCACGGTCACATCTGTTTGGTACCAGGAGTGGGGTAGTTCTCTCAGCAGGTTTCCGTGTAATTTGTTTTTATTTAAAAGGGAAAAAAACGACAACCCTGTTAGTTAAGTGGGAGGATAAACAACAGTAGAGGTGAAGGAGGGTCACGTTCCGGAGGCTACAGAGGGAGCTGTGCGCAGCACAAGGAAGGTCTGCAGGACAACAAGGTGCCAGGGTGCCAGGACCCATTGGAACGAGGAAGCGGCATCGGACTTTGTTGGTGTGAGCTTTACAAAGACTGAGACTCGGTAGAACTGAGGCATAGGGCTTGGAGGCGGAAGTGTCTGAGGAGGGGGCCACCTGGGGGGAGCCGCGTCTTGGGCTGACGACGGTGAGGGAGGTAACGCGTTCTTACAACTTCAGTCACAAATACAGGAGTTGGGGAGAAGACACGATCAGGTGATGTCGACACTCGCTGGGCTGAGCACTGTTAATACCAGGTCTTATGTCTATATTCCCAGAGAAAAGCAAATTGTTCCTTATTGCGGTGACTAGTAAAGATTGTCAGACCATTGATGAGTTTATCGAGGAACTCGAACGAGTTATTTGGGTAAGGGGACTGAGTGAAGAGGATCAAGTAGATTTTATTTTGTCACACTTGAGGCGATCGGCTCTGGATGAGGTTAAACTGTGTATGGGGAGGGAGGATACACAGCCTCGGGAGCTGTTTGCGTACTTGAGGAACGCATTCCGGGAGAAACAGACTACCCCTAAGCTGTTACATGCTTTCTATGCCCGAAGACAGTTAGAGGGGGAGGATCTTAAATGCAGACAGTGTTAAATGCAGCACTCAGGCAGTCACTTAATGCGGTGCCTGATGCACAGCTAGCGTTAAGGGATTAGTTTGTGGAGGGGATCAGGGACCCCATACTCCAGCAAGAACTGGGCTCTGAAAGGTCCCAAAGAGCTAAAGTTAGGTCCAGATATACCAGAGATGGTTAGCCTATTTGCTTGAGGTGTGAAGGGGTAGGACATATAGCCCGCCAGTGCACAGTGCCAGGCAAACAGGAAGACCAGATAGCGGCTCCTACAGAAACATAGGCGTGTCGGGAAATGCAGTCCCTCCATTGTGCAGAGCCGAGCAATGAGAGGGGATGACCATGGCTCAGGCAGTGTTCCTCTGACTAAGGAACGTTTTTTGGAGTGTGCAGTGGGCAAATGCCCCGAGGTTGAAATTAGTATAGGGAGAATAACTGTCAGGTGTCTTTTAGACACGAGTAGTAATGTGAGTACATTGACGGAAAGTTTCTTCAGGGAGCACTTGCACAGGGAAGATAAGGATATGCACAGCACCTCGAAGTGGTTGCGAATTACTGCCGCTAATAAACTTCCTCTTCCATATTTGGGGTATGTAGAGTTGGATATTCAGGTGATGGGTGTAACTATACCGGGCTGTGGATTTTTGATCGTCCAAGATCAGAAGGATGGAGAAGCTGATCTCTCGACTCCAGGTATTCTTGGAATGAATATCGCTCAGCGCTGCCGACAGCTAATCTTGGTGGAATTTGATAATGCACTGAAAGGAGCGTTAGATTCAGATTGGCAAGATGCGCTCAGTAAAGTTCAGGAAGCGATGTCAGAAGGTGCACAATCTACAGTTCGAATAGCCACATAACAGATGCGTTTGCAGTATGTGACGAGGATCTTGAGTACACCGATCTCGTAAAACATGAGATTCATGTGACTGATAACATGCCGGTCACA